CCCCCCCCCCCTTTTTTTTTTCTGTAACTCTGGGTTAGCTAAATTGCTTATGTGAACTCAGTTAAGTGTTCCTGTGGCTATTCAAGTTAGTAGCATAAATACTTCTCAGTTTTTGTGTAAGCCATATGTGGATTCACTAATGGAGCTTCCTGTCACCTGTTTTATGTATGTGGTGTTATTTTACTTAAAACTTTATAATGATTTTCTCATAGATACAGCTGATCAACACTTAAGATCTTAACAATAGTGAACTAAGCATGCTTTGATTTTTATCCAAGAATTTTGAATGTTAGTTCAAACTAGTCTGTATATAAACCTGAGGCTATTAAGGCATTGCTCTAGTGAAATCATTTCTCAGGATATGGAATTATTTATCCAGGGAACCATTCCTTGGGTTGCAAACAATGATTATTATACTTTTATAGGAAATTTTTCAAAAACTCATTTTATCCCTGTCCAAACTTTGAAGAATGAGATTTGTCTATATTTATCAAAGTTAAAAAAGAATTAAGACTTAAATTTTTTTTTTTAAATATTTACTTATTTTGGGGAGAGCACAAACGGGAGAGGGGCAGAGAGAGGGGAACAGAGGATCTGAAGCAGGCTCTGCAGGCTGACAGCAGAGACCCCGATGTGGGGCTTGAACTCATGAACCATGAGATCAAGACCTGAGCTGAAGTCAGATGCTCTACTGACTGAGCCACCCAGCTGCCCCAATAATTGTTAAGGCTTTTAAAAAAGTGACAAGACAATCTGTTACTTTATGTAATGTAAACCAGTAAGAGTCATGCTCCAGGATATCCCTTTGGTCCTTTGCGGTTCTGGTTGGAAGAGGTCTGCTCTTTGTATCTAGATCCTTTCAAAGCAAATTTGCTATTTTCTTTTAAAATTAAAAAAAGATTAAATTTTTTATGCTATTAGTGTTATTTCAGAATATGTTGCCACTTGTATTGAATACTACTAGTTGTTTTTAGGGTAATCATGTCTTCAGAATATTGGTACCCTGCCTGTTTTATGCCTAACTGAAAATTTAATAAAACCTTGAATGGTATACGGAAGAGAATAAAATGAGAATATTTACTATCAAAAATCAAGAACTGAGAAGGTACTAAAACATACTTTCAGTGCAGTTGGTTTAAAATGATCAAAGCTATTTGGAAAGTTATTTGGTAATTTTTTTTTAAGTTTATTTATTTATTTTGAGAGAGTGCAAGGGCACAGTGGGGAAGGGGTAGAGAGAGAGAGAGAGGAGAAAGAGAATCCCACGCAGTCTCTGCACGGTTAGCGCTGATTCGGAGCTTGATCTCAAGGTTCCTGAGATCATGACTCACAATCTAGAGTCAGACGCTTAACCGACTCAACCACCCAGGGGTGCCCCAAAAGTTGTAATTTACATCCAGAGTTTTAATAGTAATCATACTCTTGGCTCCAATAATTCTGCCACTTACCAATGAATTTTCAGGAAACCTGAACTATGTAAATTTACATAAAAATATACTCATCATGGCATCATTCATCATATTGAGCAAATTGAAAGCTTCCTAAATGTCCTGGGAGACAAGTTAAATATATTGTGCCAGATCTATAAAGGAGTGTGCTATAGCTACCAAGATATACTTACGAAGAACATGGAAAAACTTAATGCAACCTTTGGTTTTAAAAGGGAGTAGTATGCAAAACTACAGTGTGGTCTCAAAAGGAAAAATTTATTAATAGAAAAAAAGACTATAGAAGTCTACACTGATATTGGTCATGTCCAGTTTCTATAACATACATACATTTATTACCAGAAACATTATTTTTAAAAATTTAGGTATTTCTTTCGAGAAGAGCTTGAAAACAAGAGGCTTTGTTTTATCATTCTTAAAACATTTTCGGAAATAAAATATGCCTGTACTGAAAGTACTTGCTTTACATAAAAGTTAAAGGCTGTATAGCTTCTTTGGTTTTTGAAAAATAAGCAACTTCAAGTTCAAATCTACTTTTCTAAGTTTTAAATTAGAAACAGTTGTGGTTTAATTTTATGAAAATGTTAACTACCATATGGGAACAGCAGAAATGATTGAATACCCATTAAAGCAGAAGCTAACTTTTAAGTTTTGTGTCATAAGAGTCCAAGTGACACAGCATTTTATTTCTCAAAAGTTATCCATTGTAATTCTTTTCTTCATACTTTACAACTTAAATGAGGAATAATAAAAAAAATGATAATTTGTATCTAATTGGTATACCACCAAAATGATTTGAATTTAATAAGGTACAAACTTGTTACACTTGTTTTAAATTCATAAAAAGGAAATCTGGATTGAGTTGATGCATTTATAATCAAAATATGAAGACTGATTATGCAAAAATGACTTAAATAGAAATACAGTTTTATTGTTCTGACATGAGAGAATTACCTTATTATAACAATTACCAGTTTTTAAAAAATATTACTATTTGAATTACTTTTTTACATATTAAAGGAGGTCTTTATGTTTTTTTCTATTTTATAGATATTTGAGATATTTGGACCTGTTGCACATCCATTTTATGTGTTACGTTTTAATTCTTCAGAGCACATTGAGAGTAAAGATATTAAAATAAAGGATACTATGTATTTTGCTCCATCAATGAAAGACTTCACCCAATACATATTCACAGAAAAACTTAAACAGTAAGTATGTTATTGACATGTTAGTTGTCTGCCTATCTGGTGTTTATATTTTAGGAATAATTTTCAGTGAAGTTCATTCATTATTGTTAAATAATCTGTCTTCCAAAAGTTCATTTATTTTCCTAATAAAATCTTTGAAAGGTACAATTTGTTATCAGACTTTACAGGTAGAGATGATTTATATCTTTAACCGAAAAAGACATAGTCAGCTAGTAGGAATACATTTGGACCATATAAAGTTTCTGAATTCAAATTCATATTTTTTCCATTATATACTTTTCTAACATACATGCTATTTCAGTATTAGTATTACCACCCAAAAAGAATTCTTTTCCATTTTAAATAAAATTATTTAGTTTGGATTACATTATAGGCTTAACTAATAAAACTTTGTAATTCTCAAGAAAAAAACCAAAATGAGTACATTTCAAGTTGCTTATAAATTGTAAGTGTCTAGAAGAGACAACTAAAATATGTCCCTGAAAAGTTATGTATCAAGTTGATAAACGGTTGATTTAACCAACAAACTACTGCTGTCCCTTTTATAAGATGCTAAATGATGCCTATGGCATAATGGAAGTAATATTTCTGCATGTTTATGGTACTCATTAATTTTGCATTTCCATGTGTTAATTGTGTTGCCAGATGTTAGCTGTAGAGCTGTTTTTATTAGTTGACCTTGTTATTATAATTATATAATTTAATTTTTATATTAAATCAGTGGCATATAGTTCAAGTAGAATAGCTTTTTTGGGGAAAAAAAAGTTGAATGCTTTGGAACGATGAAATGAGTATAAATCATTTAAAAATATTATAAAATTAGGAGTGGAAGAAACACTTCAAAAGATTGGGGGAGGAGAGGGGATCCTAAATCCAAAAATACTTTGCATTCAGTTTGACACACAAGTCCCTTTTAGGTCTAGCTCTCTTTTGATGGGAAACTTGAAGTACAGCTGAAGCATTAGGAGTGTGGTTTTTGCAGAACATACAGGAACTTTAGTCAGTGAGTAGCCTTGGAGCTACATCAAAAGTACTAGCTAGTCCTGATGGCATGGCGAAAAATCTCTTAAGTATTTACATAGTAAATGAAGTCTCTGAATTCATTTATCATTTTAGAGATGAAAATTTTGTTCCTGATAATTCATTAAGCTCGTGTTTAGGAATCTACACAATTATCTGAGGGAAACATTTTGCCTGAGTTGGTGAGGTTGATTTTTCTAAATAACTGCTAAAAAGAAAGGTGAATTAAATAGACAGTAAAGTCATGTTTTAAAATCATTCCTTAAGGGGCGCTTGGGTGGCTCAATAGGTTGAGCATTCTGACTCTTGGATTTTGGGATCTTGGGTTGTGATCCCAAAGTGGTGTGATCCAGCCTCCTGTGTCACTTTGCGAGCTGAGTGTGGAGCCTGCTTGAGATTGTCTCCCTCACTTCCTCTGTCTCCCCCACTCATGCTCTCTCTCTAAAGTAAAATAAAAAATTAAAACGTTAAAAATAAAATCATGTCTTAAAATAGTATTTCATTCTGCTTTAAATATTAGGATGTTGCTGTAGTTATGGCATCATTTTAACTTAAAAAAATTTCTTTTAATGCTTTTTTTTAAATTTATTTTTGAGAGAAAGACAGCATGAGTGGTGGGAGGAGCAGAGAGAGAGACACACACACAGAATCCGAAGCAGGCTCTAGGCTTCAGACTGTCAGCACAGAACCTGACACAGGGCTCCAAACTGTGAGCTGTGAGATCATGACCTGAGCCGAAGTCGGACGCTTGACCGACTGAGCCACCCAGGTGCTTCAGCCATAATTTTAACTTTTAACAAATAAAATATTTTAGCTTAAAACAGATACACTTAAAAAGATTTCCTGAAGACATTTACTGAGTAGATTTTAAATAGTAGAAGAAGTTTTTGTTCTTGATTTGCAAGAATAAGAATTTTGTCCTGGAAAGAAAAAATAAACTAAAGAATTGGGAAATTAGGCCCACCCTGCAGAAGCCCCACCTGACAAAGATTATTCTGTTTTAGACTGTATTTTGATGTCTGCATGGGAACTCTGTTGAGTACTTGCCTTTGAGGTAGAGAAGTTCAGCTCCTCTCTAGTATATCCACCTCTAGTAAGACTATTTTAATTTTGGCTTCCCATGAGCTTACTTTCTTGTTAAAAGTGCTTTTTGAAATGTTGCTTGATCTCTTCTTCAGTAGATTTTGATTTTCAGTGGTAAATATGCTAATGGGGAACTTTCTCCATTTATGTCTTTAAGCTTCTTGCTAAGGGCACCCCAGGCCATGAGATGGCATATATGTTACAAGGGGACTGGAACTGTGTTAACTGCATAGGTGTAAGCTAATAATTATTGAGTAATAGCTTTTTTGTAAATAGAAAAATCATTGATAGTGCCCTCATATACAGGGTCAAAGTTTTGAACCAAAAGAGCAGACTTCATGATTTTCATATTCTGCTAGCCCGTTGACATCTGTACATTTATTTTTATGGATTGTAGATTAATAATGATTTTAATGAATTAATAACTGAGAACCTCATTTATTTTTGAGATTTAATTTAAAGCAGTGAGGACATCTCCTAAAGTTTTGTAACACTTTAATGTAATTGAGTAACAAGATATTGTCAAACTTAAGAAATCAAAAAGATTAAAAAGATAAAGATGAGCTTTCAGAAATCCTAGTCCTACTTAATAATATATGTACTTCTGTTGGTTGTAGAGTATAAAACTGTCCACTAAAAATAGTTCATGCTTGTGATTATACTGTCCTTCAGACTCTTCAAAATACTCCTTACCAAATGAGAGCTTGTTTCTGCCTTCTCTTTTGAGAAACACTGTTGGAGTAAGGTTTGGTTACTCATGAAGTATTATTGATAGCCCTCAGGTAAATACAGGAAGATATCATGTTGTTATCTCTACCATTATACCTGTAAAATCTTAAATAAGGGAATGCCTCCTGGTCATTTTTGTATCCTTGACACTGGAACTGTGTCTGACCTATAGTTGGTGTAGAATAAGCATTTGTTGAAGTGAACTTTATGAACTGAGCTCAGGTATCATCAAAGTCATCGCCTCTGGAGATGCTTATGAACTGCAAAACCACTTTCCTCTGCACACCACACACAGCCTTGGCTTCTTATTCTGGTTCCCTGGTTCTAATATTTATGTGTGTCCAGTTCTTGTGTTTTCCTTATTAGCTTTCCGCATCTTCTGAAACAAGGGAAGAATATACACTTGGTCCTTTTATTTTTTGCTCTTATTTTCACATATATTACAAAATTAAGGTTTGAGCTCATGTCTTCTACTTCATTATTTTCTATACTATTAACTAATAAACACTTAGCAGAATCTTAAATACTTCTTGTTTTCTTTTGACTTTTTATTTTCTCTTTCTAGGGATAGGGGATCAGATGCGTCATGGAAGAATGATCAGGAACCACCACCAGAAGTAACTATAAGTCTCTTTACACAATATTTTAGGGATTATATAGGACTTGATTTTATAAAGTGTAATACCTGACCTGACCTTAATGAGGTCCTTAATGCTGCTTGGCAGTCACACTGCCGTCCTTGGGCCTACCTATGTAATGTTTCCATCTCCCAGGTGACTGTTTTATACCCCTCAATGAGAGTTTTTGATTGATCATTTTAGGAAAAAAAATATTAAAAAACAATTGGGGGGGAAAATATTTTTTAACAAATTTTTGGGAAAAAATATTTTCAGCCATATTTTAATATTTATCAGTTTATCAGTTTCCTCCTAATTTACTATGTTTTTAATCAGTTTTGTGGACAGCTGGTAAAGGAAGAATTGTCATCATTGAAAACAATTTTATTCTTTAATTTAGTAAATTAACCATGGGGGCATGAAGACATTTATTAATGGTGCATTTTAATAAGCTGCCTTACTTTTGGAGGTACAAAATCATTAGAATCAGGGCACCTGGATGGCTCAGTCGGTTAAGCATCCGACTCTTGGTTTTGGCTCAGGTCATGATCTCACGGTTCATGGGTTTGAACCCTGTCCAGTGAGGAGCCTGCTTGGGATTCTTTCCCCCTCTCTGTCCCTCCCCTACTCATGGTCAGTCTCTCTCTCTCCGTCTCTCTCTCAAAATAAATAAATAAACTTAAAAAAAATTGCTTAGAATCTACCTACCTCTTCATTTTTTTAGAATTACCTCCCTAAAAAGAGAACTCTTGATTTTCTTTCTTGAATTCATGTCAGCCAAATTAGTTTTATGTCTCAAAGTAGCTTGACAGTTTTTCTAGAGATGTGGAATAGTCAGGAGTAATGATTATTTAACTTTCCATGGAGATCGTTAGGCAAATTTTCTTTTTTTTAAGTTATTAAAATACAAAAATTGCAGCAATGAGTATATATCTTCTTGAAAATAGCATGAATTTATACAATGTAAAGAAAGAATATTGTAAATGAGAATTTTTAAATTTTTTTTTTTTTTAATTTTTTTTCAACGTTTATTTATTTTTGGGACAGAGAGAGACCGAGCATGAACGGGGGAGGGGCAGAGAGAGAGGGGAGACACAGAATCGGAAACAGGCTCCAGGCTCTGAGCCATCAGCCCAGAGCCCGACGCGGGGCTCGAACTCACGGACCACGAGATCGTGACCTGGCTGAAGTTGGACGCTTAACCGACTGCGCCACCCAGGCGCCCCATAAATGAGAATTTTTAAATGTACTAATTCTGATGAAGTTTCTCAGTATTATAAATTCTTGGTATTTGTAGATTTAACTTTGTTCATTTTAGATGTTTTTAAGCAGTGGTGAAGAATCATGCTAGTTTCTAATTTTGCTGAGGCATGAATCAGGTAATACTCCCTTAGAGAGTCACTTAACCAGTGAGTGATCCTAGTTTAATTCCACATTACCATGGGATTATGTTTTCTAATTTATGTTAGGTATACATGTGATTTCTGTTAAGGCTCTGAGGTTCACTTAGTGTTCTTAGTTATTTTTAGGGTATCTTCATACTGAAATTGTATGTTTTTAAAGTATTTAAGGGGTGCCTGGGTGGCTCAGTCGGTTAAGCGTCCGACTTCAACTCAGGTCACGATCTCGTGGTCCGTGAGTTCGAGCCCCGTGTTGGGCTCTGGGCTGATAGCTCAGAGCCTGGAGCCTGCTTCAGATTCTGGGTCTCCCTCTCTCTCTGCCCCTCCCCCGTTCATGCTCTGTCTCTCTCTCTCTCTCTCAAAAATAAACGTTAAAAAAAAAAAAGTATTTGAGAAAATTCACAAAGGTCTTAACATATTTCTTGTGAAATGAAAATATTCTAATACATCCCTGTTGTTTTAGACCTAAGCTTTGAACTTGCTAATTATGGTAATGTTAACTGTTTATAAAATTGGCATGATTAGGTTAATTTTAAAATGAAAACCCAGCATACTTCATGGGGTTTTTTGGGGTTTTTTTGTGTTGTTGTTGTTTGAAGTAGTTGACTGTCCCTTATTTCTGTAATAAGAGAAAACTTCTTGAGATTTAAAGTTTATTATGATGAAATTTTGTAGTGTAGAATTATTGCCTGACATTAATCATAGATTATGTATAAGGAATGTACTTCATTTCCATATTCATTTCTGATACGTGAATATGTAGTTTGTAGTTGAAGTAAGGTATTTGAGTATAAATTTCAATTAATGTGTATATAAGAAACAGTGAATTTTTTTCTGACCTTAGGAGATGATAGCAAAATTATTACCTAAAGCACTCTCTAAAATAAACCAATGCCAATTAAAATCCTTTAATACCGGCCTCCTGCTCTTAGGACATGCCCAATGACTGGCTCATAAGGTTCTTTATTCTCCAGTTTCATCATCTGATTTCTCTATATAAGCAGCTTTCACTTTGCCTTACAGAACCAATTTCATGTCTCAAATATACCATGCCTTTGCACATATTCTCACATATTCTCCTTGAAATTTCTCTTTCCTTTATTTTCACTGCTAATTCATTAGAGATTTATCTTGAGTTTCATAACAAACATCTCCCTTGCCCTTTTTTTTTTCCTTTCTTCAGTCCTATACTCACATAGCACTGAGTCATAGCACTTGTTCATTGGCTTTTTAATCTCATTTGAACAGCTTCAGGGAAAACAGTGTTTTCCATCTGATCTCAATACTTTCCTAGCGTTTGGCAGATATTAGATTTAACATGAGCTTAAAAAGCTTAGCACTTTGAGATCAGCAATAAAATGTCATGTATTTGAAGGTACTAACGTTGATATTTTCGAATTTGATTATAGATTCTGAGGTATATGGACTCTTGGTTCTTGGAAAATTTGATCTAGAATATATTTCAGCAAGGCTATACTGAAAGTCTCATAAAAAAACTTTCATATACATTTTATTTCTCTTAATGTATATACATGCATACACAGTGAACCTGTGTAAGTAAAACATATCTGTTTTTTGATATTAATAGAATAATAAAATTATTCTAAGAAGTCATAATATATATAGCTTTTAAGCTTTGGTATTTGGGCTAGAACAGTGAATCTCAATTCTTACTCTTGTAAGTAAGACTGACTCTTCCCATTTGTTTTTTATTTATTTTTTTTTTTTTAGTTTTTTTTTTCAACGTTTATTTATTTTTGGGACAGAGAGAGACACAGCATGAACGGGGGAGGGGCAGAGAGAGAGGGAGACACAGAATCGGAAACAGGCTCCAGGCTCTGACCCATCAGCCCAGAGCCTGACACGGGGCTTGAACTCACGGACCGCGAGATCGTGACCTGGCTGAAGTCGGACGCTTAACCGACTGCGCCACCCAGGCGCCCCTGACTCTTCGCATTTGTAATTTAAAATGATTTCCTCTTGGAAGTCGGATCATCATGTATCTGCTTATCTAATAAGCCTTCCCTGCAGTCCAATCTAAATAGCATCCACAGTGATTTTTCTGCCCATATTGTGCCTTATTATTTATTTATAACCCTTAATATACCTGACATTATATTATTAAAAGATAATTATTAACTAAGATTATTAATACCTATAAAGTGTTTAGAACAGTACCTGGCATATAATGGGTATATATAAATTTTTGAATATTTTTTATATTAGATCTGATAATTTATGTAATTTGCTTATTCCTAACTATTCCTTCCCTTTAGCATTGTTTGGTAGCTGGCATTATGATGAATATTGACTCTTAAACTTGAGGTCAGTCTTCTAGCTAAGGAATATCTGTATCTGAAGGTTGTTAAAGTTTGGCATTTTAAAGTTACCAATCTGGGAGAAAAGAAGTTACCTATCTGAAACTTTCTAGAAATTAAAAGATAAAAAGGCTTGAGTACTCTGGCCTGTGTTAATTAAGAGTTAATTCAGATATTGCTAGAAAATATTATCAAAAAGAGTAACATTCTTTTATTATTTGGGGTCAGTGTTAAATAATAGGCTTTTTCTCACTTCCAAGTATGTACCAATGAATTGGTAAATCCATGTGACATAATCTATATATTTTCCTCTGCAAGGCCTTAGATTTCAGTGATGATGAAAAGGAAAAAGAAGCCAAACAGAGGAAAAAATCTCAGATTCAAGGCCGGAAAAAATTCAAGTCTGAGTCTAATGAATCAAGTGAGTAAATGCAATATACAGTGATTTTTTAATCTTCATTTATGTTTATGTTAAGTTCATTACTAATAAAACTGAAAGAAACCTCTGAATTCTCTTTTTACCTCCTGGTATCCATCTAACATTGGAGGCATTACATGGCGTGAAATGTGATGGAAGAGAGCCATGAGGAGTATTCAACCTTAGTTTTTTAAGCGTAAGGACGTAAAAATGGCTTCTAGGGATAGATAAAAGCTTGTGAGTCAGTTGTGCATATAGACATTTTTTTCCTAAGTAACCTCTGCTTTCATGTTTAGAATTAAATGATATAGTACTTAATATCTAAATCAAGGTATTTTATTTTTTAACATGCATTTTCTTTCATTATACCTTTCCTGTTTCCTTTTCCCTTTTTTAAAACTAAACTTTTTATAGGTTTACATGCAGTGGGAAGAAATAATAGAGATTTCTGGCATGCCTGTTACCCAGTTTCCTGACGTGGTAACATCTTGTAAAACTATACAGTACAATATCACAACCTCCAGGATATTGACATTGGTACAATCAAGATTCAGAATATTTCCACCACTCCTCATGTTGCCTTTTTTATAGTCACTCCCACTTCCCTCCCTCCCACCTTCTTAACTCTTGGCAATCACTTATCTTTTCTGCATTTCTGTAATATATTTTGTCATGTCAAGAATGGTTATATAAATGGAGCCATACGATATGTTACCTTTAGGGATTGGTTTTTGTCACTTAGCATAATTTCCCAGAGATTCATCCAGATTGTTTTATTTGTCAAATTTGTTTCTTTTCATTTCAAAGTAGTATTCCATGGTATGAATATACTATAGGTTGTTTAACAGTCATGCAAGGCATCTGGGTTGTTAATAATTTTGGGTTATAGGAATAAAGTTGTTTTATATATTTGTGTACAGGTATTTGTGTGAACACAAGTTTTCATTTCTCTGGGATAAATGTCTAGGAGTACAATTGCTGGATTATATGATAGTTGGATTCCCATCACCAGTGTATGAGTGACTCAGTTTGTCTGCATTCTCACCAGCATTTAGTTTTGCCACCATTTTTTATTTTAGCCATTCTCATAAGTGTGTAGTGATAATCTAATTGTGTTTTTAACTTGCATTTTCCTAATGGCTAAGTATTTTGAACATCTTTCCATGTCCTTATTTGCTATCTGTAAATCTTCTTCAGTGATGTATTTGTTCATGTCTTTTGCCCATTTGTAACTGTATTTCTGCTTTTTTTACTCTTGAGTTATGGGAGCTTGTACATAATTTGTTCCAGCCTGTAGCTTGTATTTTTATCCTCTCAAGAGAGCCATTTGCAGAACAAAAATTTTTAATTTTGATGAATCCCTAATATATAATTGATTTTCTTTTGTGGAGTCTGAGGATTTCTTGTCCAGACATATATTCCAAAAGATTTTTCTCTTATTTTTTCTTCTAACAGTTTTCCAAGTTATTTTAGCTATTCTAGTTGCTTTGCTTTTCCATGTGCATTTTTAATAATCTCTATATTGACAAAAAGTCTTGCTGGGATTTTGATGGGAATTGTTTTAAACCTGTTTATTGGTTTGGAGATAATTAATATGTTAACTGTATGTATTGAGTCGTCCATTGCACAAACATGTATATATCTCTATTAATTTAGATCTTCTTTGTTTTTTTCTAGCAGAATTTTGTGGTGTTTAGAATATAAATCCTGTACTTTTTTTTGTTAGTATACACTTAAGTATTTCATTTTCAATTCATTGTAAATGGTTTTGCATCGTTAATGCCAGTGTCTATGTGTTTATTGCTAGAATGTAGAAATAAAATTAACATATGTATGTTTAGCTTCTGTCTTGTGACCTTGCAGAACTCAGTAGTTCTAGGAGTTTTTTGTTTGAGATTTTCTACTTCGCCAATTACATCAGTTGCAAATAGGGACAGTATTCCTTTTTTGTTTTTCAAACTGTATTTGTTTTGTTTTTGTTTTTTGGTTTCCCTTAGTAGCTCTCTGGCACTGTTGAATACATGTGGCTTGTTCTTGATCATAAGAGAAAACACTGTCTTTCATCATTAAGTATAATGTTAGGTATAGGGTTTTCGAGAACAGCATCTGTTTTTATCAAGTTAAGGAGAAGTTTCCATTTGTTCCTGTTTTTTGTAGCTTTAAAAAAATTATGACTGAAGAGTATTAAATTTTGACAGTACTTTTTCTGCATTGATAACATGATACAATTTTTTGTCATTAGTCTGTTAATGAGGTAGATTACACTGGTTTTAGAATATTGAACCAGCCTTTGCATTCCTGGAGTAAACCAGACGTGGTCATGGTGTATAATTCTTTACATATGTTGTTGAATTCACTTGTCTCCCTCTTTCTCTGGTGATTTTCTTTATTCTGAAACCTACTTTTTCTGATATTAATGTAGTTACTTCTTTCTTTCGATGTATCTTTATCCTTTTACTTTCAACCTAACTATATCCTTTGAAGTGAGTTTCTTGTAACCTTGCGTTCATGTTCTTCAATCCACTCTGCCAAGCATTTCCATCTGTTTTAATTGATGTATGTAGTCCATTCGTGTTTATTTTATTTATTTTTTTTTTATTTAAAAATTTTTTTTTTCAACGTTTTTTATTTATTTTTGGGACAGAGAGAGACAGAGCATGAACGGGGGAGGGGCAGAGAGAGAGGGAGACACAGAATCGGAAACAGGCTCCAGGCTCTGAGCCATCAGCCCAGAGCCCGACGCGGGGCTCGAACTCACGGAGCGCGAGATCGTGACCTGGCTGAAGTCGGACGCTTAACCGACTGCGCCACCCAGGCGCCCCAGTCCATTCGTGTTTAATGTAATTTTTGATATGTTGGGGCTCAAGTCTGCCCTTTCCTGTTTATTCTCTCTGGATTTCATTTCTCTGTTTTATTTTTTCTGCCTGCCCGTGGGTACTGTAACTTTTTTTAAAATTCCATTTTGATTTGTCTGTAGTGTTTTTGAATGTGTCTCTTTGTATAACTTTTTCAGTGGTTGCTGTAGGTATTAAATTGTGCATACATTACTTATCACAACCTACTGATGTCATTGTTTTACCAGTTTGTGTGCAGTTTAGAAACCCTACCTCTTTATGTCCCTTTATTATTCTCTAGTTTATAATATAATTTGCATTAAATACTTCATATATATACAATTAGAATCACAAAAACTCTTATAATATTTGCTTCAACCTCAAACATAATTTAGAAAACTCAGAGAAGGACACTTTATTGTATTTACTCATTTTTGTTGTGTTCTTTCCTCCTTTCTCATGTTTCAAGTTTTTTATTGTTTCTGTTTACAAAACTTGCTTTAGTCATTCTGTCAGGCAGGGTAGGTCTGCTGGAGATAAATTAGTTTTTCTTTATTGTAGAATGTCTTTGGTTTCCGTTTTCCTCAGGATATTTTCATTTAGTATAGAATCCTACACTGAGTTTTCTTTCAGCCTTGGAAATGTTGTGCCACTTCATGTGTCCTCTGTGGTTTCTTATGAAACATCTATTGCCCTTCCTCATCCTCTGGCCTTGTGGATTCATTTAAAGTTTATAACCTTAAGACTTAGGCTTTTTTAGCTACCATAAGATATCCTGGAAGTTAAAGAAAAGGCATTACTGAAATTTTATACTGTGTTTTTTGATGTATTAAAATTCATTTTAATTTTGTTTTTAATGCGTTCTTCCTCACTCATAGGTGAAAACTTTTCAGAAGTACATCAGAATTGGAATGCTCATAGCTCTGCTTCAGAGCACTCAAAAGGATATCGCAACAGAGAATTCACACGAGGATTTTCCCGGGGTAGATATCCTCGACCTTGCCATGGCAGGCCTCCATCACCACAGTTTTATAACTCAGAACAGATGGTGTTTCAGGAGACTTCAGGATTTCCACCTCAGAGACCAGATAATACTATCATGCCACAGTATCCTTTTCCTCCGCCGGTGTTTGACATGCATAATTTTTCACTCCCTCCTCCTCTGCCACCACTGCCACCACCTCCACCGCCTGCATCTGTAAACCTGGGTTGGGCTACACCAAACATGGCACCTCATCCATTAATTCCCTTACCATACTCCATCCCCCCACCCCCTCCCCCGCTGCCTCCACCTCCTTCTTCTGGAGATAGTAATTCTTCTCACTTTGGATCCTACTACTAGGGGAATGTATACATTTCTGGAGAAATGTAGACTTTTTATATGGGAAGGATTTTTTTTTTTTTTTTTTTTTAAAGAAAGCAATTATGGAGCTAGATTTTTAACACTGTAAAATACTAAATGATTCTTTCAGTCGTGACTTGATATATATTTGTAACCTTTGTGAAATTGTGTCATTATGAAAATTTCACTTTTGTGGAGGGGGATATCCAATTATATAATATTTAATTAAAACTTTGAATCCATGCTTTCCCTATTTCTACTCAATTAAATAGTGTATATAGGTCTAATAGATCTGGAGCAACTTTCATCATGGGTTAAAGTATATTGAACACATTGTCTTCTTGATATATCTGAAAATAAGATGCTGAAATCCTATTGAGAGTCTTTAAAATAAACTATTTTTACAAATGTATGCTTTGCAAATTGATTTTGATTGTAAATGCAATTTACCAGTAATTTTTAATGTTCTTTAATTTTTTTTTTCAAGTAAGTGAAGGTACAGAGAAATAAAGCCTTCAATATTGGTAGAAGTTCTGACTATAATTAAAGTTAACATTCATTAATTATGCATAGGCAAACTTTTCATTATCTATGCAGATTTCCATTACTGAGGCATTATGCAGTAGATTTTACTATTTAATTAAAGGAACAGAAGGACTATTCATGATAAAGTATGTTACTTATTCACAATAAAGTATATGTAACCCCATATTAGGACACTATGTCTTCTGTATCTGTTTCTCAGATTCTCACGTGCCTGCTGCAGATTAGTGCTTCATAAGTATTTATGGAATGACTGACTGAATTTAGAGCTTTTAATTAAATTACTCCTGAGTATTCTTTTACATGATGAAATGTAAATGCAAGGAAAATTACAGAATTTTAGAAATAGAAGAGGCCTTAGAAGTAGTTTAAACTAGTCCTTATTTAACAAACAATGAGGAACCTAAGGATTCCAAGTTTTAATTAAGATTACCCAGCGGGCCTAGTTTTACTGATTCTCACATCAGTTTCTACTAAATTGTTGTTTCCCGACCTTTTATTCCTTGAAACTCTTAGAAAATAATATTTGTATGCACATTGGGGTAATTTGGAGACCATTCATCACAACCCCGTGGACTGTGGTTGCACCCAGGCCCCGCTTCACATCCCTGAAGGCTGAGGAGACTCTTTGCAAGGTTCCGGGGGCCCAACTGAGAAGCCCTGGCTTTGGCGTACATTGACTTTATCATGTGTTGTACTTCATTTTTCTTTCTTGAAATGTGTTTGTAGCTTCTCTTTAGGAGTTAACTGTCATAGATTAGTTCATAGGACATTGTTAGAATTAATTGAGATTGTATCTGGAAGCACTGAAAAAAAAATTTCTCTAAGAATGGAAAGAGTAAGATGTAACCATTCATTACAGTAAATCAACAAGTCGTTAGAATCACCAAGGCATAAAAAGCATTCTTTGAACCTCTGTACCTAAAGTACTAGTATCTGACTTTAGGTATTTATTTTCTGAAGAAACATAGAACTGAATGATACCATTTGGTATCTGCCTTCGATTAAGTTGCTAACTGAAATACTTAATATCCAACCTGCTGCTTCATACATGAGGGATTTTGAAACTTCAGGGTGTCTAGAAATCACATGTAATAATCACCTAAGGTTGGGATAGCTTATTAAAAGTGCACATTCTTGGATTTTATCCCCAGATTCCAATTCAGTAGATCTAAGATGAGATCTAGGAAATCGTGTGTGTGTGTGTGTGTGTGTGTGTGTGTCTTCTGCTTTCCCAATGTTCTATTTATTGCTTTAATATTTTATTAAGTTTTTAATTTTAATTCCCAGATAGTTAACAGTACGGTGATTAGTTTCAGGTGTGCAATAGAGTGATTCAGCAATTCTGTACGTTACTCAGTGCTCATAGTTAAGTGTACTCTTTAATCCCCATCCCCTATTTCCCCCATACTCCCATCCGCCTTCCCTCTGGCAACCCATCAGTTTATTCTCTGTATCTGAGTCCGTTTCTTGGTTTGTCTTTCTCTCCTTCCCCCCCTCTTTGTTTTCTTAAATTCCACATATGAGAATCATACCGTATTTGTCTTTATCTGAATTATTTCACTTAGCATTATACTCTCTATAACTCCACGTTTTTGCAAATGACAAGATTTCATTCTTTTTTGTGGCTGATTAATAGTCCATTGTGTATATATGAAATATGTATATCACATCTTTATCCATTCATCTATGGATGGACACTTAGGCTGCTTCCATAATTTGGCTATTGTAAGTAATACTGCTGTAGATGTGGGGGTGCGGGTGTCCTTTCAAATTCATGTTTTTGTATTCTTTGAACAAATACCCAATAGTGCAATTACTGGATTATAGGGTCGTTCTATTTTTAATTTTTTGAGGAACCTCCATACTGTTTCCTACAGTGACTGCACCAGTTTGCGTTCCTACCCGCAGTTGTTTTGTTGCCTCGTGTGATCTGTTCTGGAGAATTTTCCATGTGTATTTGAAAAGAATGTGTATTAAGGATGGAATGTTCTGAATATATCTGTTAAGTCCATCTGGCCCAGTATGTCATTCAGAGTCACTATTTATTGATTTTCTGTTTGGATGCTCTATCCATTGATGTAAGTGAGGTGTTAAAGTCCCCTACTATTATTTTATTACTACCAATTATTTTATTACTAATTGCTTTAAGTATTTGGGTGCATAAATATTTACAATTGATACCTCTTTTGGATGTTACCCTGGCTTGCTTTTTTACTTCTGTTTGCATGATTAATGCTGCTCCATCCCTTCATTCTCAGTTTACGTGTGTCTTTACATGTGAAATGCAGCTCTTTTAGGCAGCATATGTATGGGTCTTGTTTTTTTTAACCATTCCATCACCGTGTGTCTTTTGATTGGTGTGTGTAGTCCATTTACAATCAAAGTAATTATTGATAGGTGTGTTTTGATTGCCATTTGTTACTTGTTTTATGGTTATTTTTGTAGTTTTTTTCGGTTCTTTTCTTGCTATCTTCTTTCAAGATTAGTTGGCTTTCTTTAATGATACACTTGCATTCCTTTGTCTTTATATTATGTATATTTTCCTGTTTTTTGATTTTTGGTTACCGTTTGGTTTGTATATAACATCTTCTGTATATAGCAGTCTATATTAAATTGATGATCACTTAAGTTTGAACCCATTTTTTACTTCTCTTCTCCCCATATTTTAGGTATATGGACTGTACATCCTTTTATTTGTGAGCCCCTTGACTGGTTTTTACAGATTTACCTATTTTTACTGCCTTTGTGCTTCCTATTTTACTTATTCTTGCTTATGGTCTTTCCTTTCCACTCAGAGAGTTCCCTTTAACGTTTCTTGTAGGGCTGGTTTACTGGTCATGAATTCCTTGAACTTTTGTTTGGGAAGCTCTCTTTCCTTTTTTTTAAAAAAAAAATGTTTAATATTTATTTTTGAGAGAGAGAGCTCAAACAGGGGACAGGCACAGAGAGAGAGCGCGGAGACACAGAATCTGAAGCAGGCTCTGGGCTCTGAGTTGTCAGCACAAGAGCCTGACATGAGGCTGTAACTCGTGAATTGGGAGATGGTGACTTGAGCCGAAGTTGGACAGACGCTCAACTGACTGAGCCACCCAGTGCACCTCTATCTTTCTTTCTATTCTGATTGATAGCCTTGCTGAGTAGAATATTCTTAGCTGCAGATTTTTCCCTTTCAGCACTTTGCATGTATTATGCCACTCCTTTGCTGCCTGCAAAGTTTCTGCTGAAAATCAGCTTAAAGCCTTATCAGGTTTCCCTTGTATGTAACTGCTTTCTTTTCTTTTGCTATATTTGTTTGTTTGTTTCTTTGTTTGTTTAAAAATAGGCTCCAGGGGTTTGTGGGTGGCTCAGTCTGTTATGAGTCTGACTCTTGGTTTCAGCTTGGGTCATGAGCTCATGGTTTCATGGGTTTGAGCTCCACTGTCTCCCTCCCTGCCCCTCCTGCACTTACACTGTCTCTGTCTCTCTCAAAAATAATATAAACTTCATAAAAAAACAAAGGCTCTGTGCCAAGTATGAAACCCAACACGGCGCTTGAACTCCTCAACAGCCTTGAGATCAAGACCTGAGCTGAGAGCAACAGTCGGACACTTAACTGAGCCACCTAGGTGCCCCATCTATTGCTGCTTTTAAAATTCCCTGTCTCGGGGCGCCTGGGTGGCGCAGTCGGTTGAGCGTCCGGCTTCGGCCAGGTCACGATCTCGCGGTCCGTGAGTTCGAGCCCCGCGTCAGGCTCTGGGCTGATGGCTCAGAGCCTGGAGCCTGTTTCCGATTCTGTGTCTCCCTCTCTCTCTGCCCCTCCCCCGTTCATGCTCTGTCTCTCTCTGTCCCAAAAATAAATAAACATTGAAAAAAAAAAAAATTTTAAAATTCCCTGTCTCTACTTTTGCCATGTGTCTTGGAATAGATCTCTTTGGTTGTTTATTTTGGGGGGGGGGGGG